TGGGCCGTCCACGAGGCTGTGCACACGAAGAAGCGCAACAAGCTCGAGTTCGAGAAGGTCGTGAAGTTGGTCGAGATCTCGGCCAACGTCCGCCTTCTCTCTCACCAGCGGGCTGTCCGCGGCTTTGCGTTGCCATGGACGATCGATGAGTCGATGTTGGATGTGGAGGGAGGCATAGGGACGCAGCCGTCATGGCAGGGGACAGACGCCAGCAGGACACAGGAGGACCGGGAGAGGCAGAGACGTGCGTGGACGAGAGACCCGTATGGGTCAGGAGCTCCTCCGGGAGAGGTTGAAGAGGTTTTTGGGACTCGAGCCGCCACGTTGCGCCCCTACCCCAGAGATGACGACAGTGATGACGAGGGTCCTGAGGGGGACGATGAGCGGGCGGGACCTGCTGACCATCCGGCCTCACGAGAGGTTGATGAGTGGAGTGACTCGGAGGACGTCCATAGACGTAGCGTCGGGGGCGACCTTTTTGGTGGACGAGACGGGAGCCCTTTTGAGTGAGAGCGACCTTCGTCTCCGGGGCCCCAGTCCATCGATACGCACGTGGTGCACGGATCTGCGCGTTCGAGGGGGGCAGAGTCAGCGGTGGGTGGCGGCATTCCTGGGCATATCAGAGGTTCGCCTCCCAGAGGGCGACTGCATAGATTGGTGAAGGGCCCGAGACAATGATTAGAGGAGAGATTGTCGAGCAGTCCTTCACCGGGTGAGAAGGTCGAGAGAGATGTGGAGAGGCCCACTGGTGGACGTAGTGCTCCATTGGCAGGAGATGGACGTAGTCCAGTTCAGGAGGCAGTTCAGACAGACGGTCTTGGGGGGTGTCGTGATGACAGGATATCGATGGGCGGTTGCAGAGGGTTTAGTCAGTTTACTGATTTGCGACTGCCCCCCGGAGAGAGTGATTCTTGGGGGGACTTTAGTGTCGACATGCAGGTCATGTTAGACCAGATCAGCGCCATGCAGCCAAAGACTTTCACCCCTGCCATGCGCAGAGAGTTAGGAGTGTCGCCAGTGGAAGCAAAGGTAAATGAGGACCTCACACCCCCTGGAGAGACATCTGCAGAGAGGTTGGACAGGCTTGATAGTTGCCGAGCTTGCCTCCTGGCACGAGCTGACCCCAGAACGCAGGAGTTGGCTCGTCTAGCAGTGGAGGAGCGACAAAGACAGTTGGGGACGTTTATGGAGATGCCCCTTGGCTCACAGGCGGCTGCCCACATCGATCCGGTGACAGAGGTTCGTGATGGGACGTAGATGGAGGTAGTTGGACGCGAGGCAACTTTGGCAGGGACTCAGGGGGAGGCAGCTGCAGGCGAGTCGACTTCACCAGGGATGCTGGGGGAGGCAGCTGGACGTGAGGCAGGTGGAGGCAAGATGGGTGGAGGCGAGGCAGCTGCGATGCCGAGGGAGGTGCAAGGGTTGCACGAGACCGGGGTCCCCGCACGAGACGACCCTCGTCTGCTGCCCGACCTGCCTCTTCACGACGGCCAGAGGACCGAGGATGCTTTGGCTGAGACCGAGGACATGCCTACGGGTCTGGAGGACATATAGGCGGGTCAATCAATGGGCGCGGATGATGTGACCCCATTGGTACAGCCAGACAGGATAGCGCTGACCAGGGGGGGGGCGGGGGGGGGGACGTCACGGGGGACGCTATAGTTGAGGGGGGGGAGGACTTAGAGGAGCGAGTTCATAGTGATCTGGTGTCCTCGGTTGGGGTTGGTCGCCATGCAGAGGTCGATACCGGGGTTGGACATAGAGAGGAGGCGATCAGTACGCCTGACAGAGACAAACGGGAGGCGTCGCGGAGTTTGGTTGTCCGCACGGCCATGGGGCCGGTGGTGCCACATGAGGAACCGTTTCCTGTAGATCCGATGCGCTGTGCAGGTGGTGTCGCCTCGATCGTGGAGCAGCGTGTAGGAAGGGGCATGTGCGCACCTCCGATCCCACCTTTCGCACCGTCTAGAGAGAGGACACAGTCGAGGTATGTGCCTCATCCTCGCGGCACCCTTGCTTTCGGTTGTATGACCGCCGAGGAGTTGGAGGTGCACAACACGATGGATTACACCGAGATCCACACTGGGCGGCCGGACTTGTCTTGGGCGCCAGCCATCCCTAGCTTACCATCTGGAGGTTCTACTGCAGCACCCTCTCACGGGGTTGGAGGGTCGTTGTCACCCTCGACCGCAGAAGCCCAACCGCGCGGTAGTCACACCCCAAGGTCGGCTGCCCATAGACAGAGAGACACGAGCGACCATGGACGGGACATGATTTTGCTCGTCGCACTGATCGGCCATGGAGCGAGATGAGACGGGTGACATCGGCGAGCTCGGGTCATCAGCCGGGTTTGAGAGGGGTTTCCACGAGCGGGGGTTGTCGAGATGTTGTGGCGTCTGGGTTTGGCGACAAAGGCGGGGATAGTGGCGACATGCGTGGTGAACGTGAGGGCACGCGCGATGCCGATGCAGAGGCAGTACAACGCCCACTGACGTACGGTTTGAGAGAGGCCTCCATCATTTTAGACGAGCCTGAGGTTGGTCGACGAGCCAGGCAGGCCCGACACGTGTCGATTGATCGACGCCAGGAGGGGGAGACTTCAGGGATAGACGGTCTGCCTATGCATCGCGAGTCTTGCCGACATGTTGATTTAGCAACCGATGGCGTCAAACCACGTAGAGGCAGGAAGAGTTACCATGGACGACGACCCCGACGACCCTCCTGAGCCTTCCACCGCTGGTCGCGAAGAGCAACGCCAGAGAGGTCGACCACATGGCACTGGTCGGACACATGGACGAGGTTCGCATCGGTCATGGCAGCGTTCGCCTGCAGATGAGGATCGTTGATTGTGTTCTGACTTCCATTTGTTTTTTGTGTTTTTTTTTTTGTAGTTTAGTTTTGTGTTCTGACTTCCGTTGTGTAGTTTAGTTTTGTGTAGTTTAGTTTTTTGTTTTGACCAGTTCACTCTTCACACTTGTTTTTGTTCACTACTTATAGACAGGCATTAGGGCAGGTCTTATATAGATGACGCGGGTGTTTCGGGATTTCTTTCTGTAGTTTAGATCGAGGTTCTCCATCACCAGCGGGTGTTTGACTCTATGTGTCAAATGTATTTTAATATTATGCATGCAAGGCCGAGTTGTGTTTCGGTTCAGATATTATCTCGACATTTGTGGTGTTCATGTTTTATGGATGACGAGTGTTGCATGTGTCGTTTTATGTTTTTCCACATTGTCGTTTCATACATTTGATAAACCAATGTGTGAAATTGCAATTGAGTCTATGAATGGAGCGACAATTAGATAAATGTGTATGTGTGTCTGTGTGTGTTTGTTTGTTCCAGCTATCTCACAACACCCAAGT